TAAATATATTGTATTGATATCTATTTTTAAAATTTATGAAGTTTTAAGACATGAAAAGTAAAGTTTATATCAAATCTTTGTACTTTTCAAGCTCAAAAAGTACAACAAATCAAAAAAAACTGAACCATCAAAGAGATGGTGAGAGAAATCTCTAGAAATTTCAATAAGATTTTGACAAAGTTACTAAATTTGACCAGATTTTCTTCTTGTGTGATATACTTGATGCTATATTTGTCTCATTGAGCTTGAATTAGCTTCTCTATGACATTTAGTATTGGAGTCACAATTTTCTTGAGTGATGTACATCATGTCTTTCAAATCATGATTCTTGAAGTCATGACTCATGCCCCTGGTCATGGATGTATATATACAATGTATCCTTCTAATACATTTATATAGATAAATGATTGCTCTTTAGGTTTGAATGTATGTAATATCGTTTAATTACATTATCAAAACAATAAATTGTTTACATTTCAATCTTCTTCATCTATCATTTTGGTCTCAATCTTCATTGTTGTCTTATTGAGATTTGGAGATCATTCTAATTTTTATCTAAAAAAATCAAAATACATGTCAAAATTTTGTTGGAAATCATCATCGTACTCACAAGAAAATTCTACATCTTTCAAAATCAATCAATCAGTTGCTATAATACTAAATTCTTCATCTTCTTCAAATGTTATATTAAATGAATTTTCTTGCTCTAATGTTAACAATGTAGATGACGTTGAATTTGATTTTGAATGTAGGTTAAAACTTGATTGAACGATGTCAACCATCTTCATACGTTCCACCGACATGAGGTTGCAAAATTTTGTTATTGATAGTTTAAACTATGAAAACATTCTCTTTACTATGACATTATGAGAAGCAATAGAAAAAAATTTCACAAGAGCATTTGCACCAACAACTTATTGCCAAAAATCATCATATAATTTTTGTTTGAACTCTTTGTGAAGGCTCCACTTTGATTGATGTAATCATTTAAATCCGCTTGCAGTGATATTGTATTCATTTTGGTGAACCTCCATCCTTTAGCAAGTTTTGCAATATCATTCCGAATCTTATTGTATGTCTTCTTTTTGAAGATGACAATTGAAAACTATTGTGCATCGGAGAACTGGCAAAAGACTAGTTTAAAAAGCGCAACTTGAATTTTTCACTATACAAGAACGTTAAGGTTTGTTTGATGGCGATCGATGGAGCAAGAGCGATAAATATGTTCTTTTTGTCACGTAATGAATCACAGGGAAATAAATTTTCATAGATTTTGATATGTTAGATTCTAACCAAATTTAAGTTGAACCAAAGATTATAATGAAGATATAAAATTAAACAACACAAAAGAGATGATTCACATGAGAACGTAAAGATTGATTATGTTATCTACAATCTTGAAATCTTGAAAAAAAAGCACATCATTTCCAATCTTCAAACATTAAAGAGAACTCATTGAACATCTAAAGAAGTGCACATCATGTTTACAATTTTTATTCTTTGGAGCTTGTTAAACAGCTAATTCAATTAACCATTTAGACAATTAACGGTTGAAACAATTAGAAACTTTATTAATTCATGAGCCGTAAGTCTTGAATACGAGTTTAATGGATACAAACATGCATGTCTAATAGTAATAAAGGCATGCCTATAAACATGCCTCAATGCCCTTGCCCGGAGTATGCCTTTTGAGGTTCTGCTTCCAACCTTAATGACATTGTTCACAATCCTAGAATAACTTTGAGAGAAAATCTTGAGATCAAAATCAATGTTATCGATTTTGATCTCAGGTTTTGAAGAAAGCTCTAGAACTATGTTAAATAAACTTCTTTCAAATTGCAAATTATAGCATAAAATTTTGAAAATTACGACTCAAAATTTTCTTTAAAATCAGATCTCATAAATTTTAGCAAATGCCAATTATGATTTGCCAAAATCAAAGTGATTTTGGCAAATGTTCATCTTAATGTTGGCATTTGTCAAAGTTAAGATAGCTCTATTGTCATAATTTATATATAAATTTCACTACATGCTTTGATCGGAGGGAAATCAAACAGGATTATGTCTCATCATGAAACAGTTCCGATGGAACTAGTCGAAATCTCCTAAACTTCTATAAAAAATTAATAACATACGTAAAATCTTGTTTATTTTTTGGATAAATAAATGTTTATTTTAAGATGGAAATAGAGGAAGCTTGAAGCTGATTTATTTAAAAGAATTCAATTTTCAATATTCTTATGATATATAAATCCATCATGTGATGTCGATGTATATCGAATGAGATTATTATATTTCATTAGAATTAATATAGTTTACTTTAAAATAATATATATACATTGAGCATAAAGTCCAATCCTTCAACAATATAGATTTTTTTTTTATCAAATCTTATAAAGTATTTCATAATAATAAAAGACTAAAAGATCATGCAGATATAACTTTTTTGTGATTATGTTGTATAATCATATTGAATTACTTATCATATTATTCAATACTTTGAAACATGAATTAATTTAAAATAGATAATAAATATTATTGAAATTTTACAAGTCAAAAGTTAGTTATGATCAATTCATGATAATTTAATTTATCAAGAATCAAAATCTCTTTTTTTGGACATGCATATTTGTACATTTAATGTATCAATTTCTATCAATATGATTTTGATCACGGAAAATATCATTTTTTTTACATCCATATCATCAGTTATAGTATAGTCAACTATATCATAGTATTTATGACTGAATTATGTTATTTAGAATCTAGCTAGATTGATGATATTTTGCTGCAAATATTATTGTCAAGAAGCAATGTCCGACTCATGAACAGTTTTATAGACAAATATCAAAATCTTCAATCTCTATTATCTCCATGATTTTTTTGAATTTATATTTTTTGAAATTACAATACGTCAAAATTGCCATGAACACATATGAATAAAAATTCAAATTTGTTCATGGCAATATTCATATTAATTTAAATTCATATATTCATATGTGTTCATGGCAATTTTGACGTATTATAATTTTGAATAAAATTTTAAAAAAATTTATACATGTGATTTTTTTATAATCATTATTGACAAAAAATCTTCCCAAAAAAGTATCCCAAAAATATTTATATGATATTAATTAAAAATTTTATATTTCATATATCAATTTGTGATTTAAAAGGTATATGATAATGTACAATATATTACTTTCATCTAATAATATGTATGCCTGATATTTTTTATTTGTTTGTCAACTCACATGTGTTTAAAACTTATGTAAGGAATAAATATTAATTATCATGATTGGATTAATAACATTTATATTCATGCATCTTGAATTTAATACGGTAAATTCAAACAAAGTGATAGGTGTAAATATTTTTTTCGTAATTTGAACATTTTTATGTTACATCAAATTAAACTTTGCAATATTTGTAAAATTTTAATGTGAACATGTTTAAAGTATCATGTGATTAAATAATATATCATCTTTTATATTATTTTATTATGTTGAAAAATAATGCACCATATAACGTGATATATAGTTTGTGATACATTCCATGTAATGGATAACTTTTGAATGATACTAACATTATTTTTGGCTTTAACATGATCAATAATTTTTCAATAATGTTTCTTTCCTAACATGATAATAGATCATGTAAAATGTAATATTTTCCCAAATTTAATTTAAAAAAAAACCTAGTACTTTAATTATGTAGATATATATTACTTATTACATTTTGTGAATAAAAATGTGTATTAAATCTTTAACATCTAAACTTAAAAATTTTTCACGTATTTTATTTTACAAACAGCTCATGGAAGCTTGAAGTGAGAAGCCAAAAAAGAATTCATATCCCTGCAACTTTACACGTTGAACCTGGCAGGTATTTTGATCGATTGTCAATTTGTGTTAATCATAGATTTTTGAACTGTAAGTTTCTTTAGATCTCCATTTACAGAATTCTGCTTGCTGCGTCAAACTCTTCTCATGCTAAACTCAGACCTCAAGAGAGCTTTGAGCTTATCAACACTGGAATCTGATCCTAACTATAATAAGCATGTCATTCAATGAAGTTTTTTGATAAAAAAGCCACATAACAATATATCATTAATCTTTTTCATGAAAGACACTTCCTTTGATTTTTTAGTGATATCATGAAATAGCTTGTTTAGATATCTAGGGGCTTGTTTTGATACATAAATGAATTTTTAAAAATCTTAATACAATTTTTTTGTCCCACAAAGTTCAAAGATAGAGGTCATAGTTTGATGCAGAAGCATCTCAGATGAACTATCATAGAAAAGCAGTGAAAATGTTCAATTGACATAAGATAATCTCAAACAAAGTCACAAGTTCACACATAAAGCAAATGGTAACGTCCGAAACAACTTTAGAATAGAATTCATTAGTCTCTTATCTATCAATCTATGTTGTAAAAATTAGTTTGGAAACGCATACAGACTACTTCAATTGTTAATCTTTTGGGAATTTTAGTATTTCTAAGTTTTGTTCTCAATCAATGATTGCATATTACTCTTCTAGTTTCCATTTAAGTTTATCTAATAAAGCTTGAATCTGAATATATGAAAGATTTTCATCTTTTAGAAGATCAAAACCATATCACCAGCGTCATCATAGGATATGTCATCATCTTCTAATTGAGCTGAACAAATTAGTTTTCAAGTTGATAAAGAGCACAAAAAAACATAGAGATTTTCATCTTGTAAACGATTAAACTTGATCTTGATGCCTTGGCATGAGTTACGTTCGAATGATCTCCTTGAGTGACTTGAATTTCAAGCATGCGTACATAGATCAATGTAAGAGTTGATACCCCACGTTTCGTTTAAGAAAAATAAAAAATATAAATATTGTTATGCCATAAAATATGCGAGCAATAAAATAAAGAATATATGTAGACCTTCACGCTAATCATGACTTATCTGTGCAGGGACGTTGTCCGAAACTAATACATAGTACGTTATGCACACAGTAACGGAGGTAATCGAAATATAATTACAGAGATCTTGGTCACCATCAGAGGACCATCTGAGAACAACGAAAAAGACATGACGAATGAAGATTTCGTTTCTCTGCATCGAGACACTGCAAAGTGGTCGCTATACATCTGAAAAAAAAATGATGGAAGAACTTTACCAGACCTTCCTCGACAGTCCACCGCTTTTTACACTATCATAGGTGGCTATTTTAGGCCACAGCAATACTCCTACCGAAGTTACTACACATGACAGCGTCGAAGTTGAACAACTCAAAGGTCTCGATACCAAGACCGTTTATCTACCTCAACGGATAGATCTATGCGACTCGAAGGATTAAAGACTATCCCTATACGTATGGAAGTTTTAGTCCCCTTGCATATCACAGAAAGCAATTACCTTCAGGGCAAGAATCTCGAGGTGCGCGATCTATGATATATATGATACACAACTGGAATTGGTCACCAAGAGCGGTGACTGATTTCTAAGAGCTACACACCTAGATCAGTGACCACCAACCTTCAATTATAGGCCGAAATTAATGCAAAACTGATGAAGGAAGCGGATTCTGGAAGGTTTACCTTCCCCTCATTACAACTGATTTCTCCTAACTTGCAATCCTAATGCAACATGTACTGTCATCCCTCAAAGGTTTTCTTCCTCGAGATCGTCCGCAACATGCAGCTTTTCGATGGCAATCTGCATATAGAGGTGAGCACAAGATGATGCTTGTCAGGTAGAGGTGAAGTACAAAATCTACACTCACCATGCTTCATGTGAGAAAATTGAAACAATAAACTCACTAAACAGGCAAACGAGGTTGGCACTCAGGCTCACTTTTTGAGAAAAATAAGAAACTTTGTGGCAAACTGGTGGAATACAATTGTTCGACATGATCTTCCATATACTGCGTGTTCAGAAAATCATAAACATCCGGTCCACAGAGAGCTTGTCTCAGAGGATATAACTCGTTCGACAATGAGAGAGATGCAGCATACCTTTATTAAATTAACGTCTGCAGTAGAAGGCTTCAGATCTAGTGCAATGCAGAAGTGGTACATTGCTTTTTCCGGAAAATCCAGTCGCTTGTATATTTTACCCATTAAGAAAAAAACACTGCTTTCTCGAGGAGCTACTTCTTTCAATTGCTCTAATTCGGCAAGGGCATCGTCGTATCTTTCTTCACTCATGAGCACATTAGCCTTTTGATACTTAGGAAGTGGATTTTTAACATCTGCTATAATTGCTTGCTCCAGCAACGATAACGCCTCTTCATTTTTCTGTAAGCAGGAAAGAATACGACATCAACGTTAGGAACATTTCAGATATTAGCTGAGACTGGAAACGAAACGATAATATGCATACAAATGACAAAGAAATTCTTATTTTGCAAAGTCTAAAAATGTAAAATCATAATGAAACTCTTTAGTTTACCTTCAGCGCATGGAGGGCCATTCCGAGATAACAGTGGAGCACAGAAGATCGACTATTGATCTGAAGGGCTCGTCTAAAGTGGTACTCTGCAAGTTCATATTTTTCTTGACGAAAGTATATTGTTCCTAAACCATACCTGCAAAACGAAAACTTATGTTATATGTTTTGAAATGCAACCAAGTAGCTCATAACACACGCTGTAATGACCATCCTCATGGCAATTTGCATTATGAACTCCCTGAAAGACTTCCACAATTGTATCCTTACCATGCATTGTAATGTCGAGAGTCCATTCGGATTGCATTACGATAACATGTAAGGCCCTCTTCGAAATCTTCCATAGCGACATACCTGCAATCAGCGGAGTAGGACTTCAGTTAGCTAAATTTCATTCATAATTATAGTGTACGATAAACGTTGAAGTTGAATGGCCTTAGTTGATGCTTACTCATGACCACAGAGTGTGTAGGCATATGTGAACCGCGAATCAAGCTGTAGTGCACGCTGAAAGAACTTCAAAGCTGTTTCGTGATCCTTTTGTAAACTGAAGCAGTTACCCATAACACACCTGCACACATGAAACTGTCCAATCTTCACCATTATGACAAACAAGCAAGTCAAGCCAGAACCTTTCACAAACTTGCAAATGTTCATCCTATCCCATAATTTCAGTGGAAAAACAGAACATAGTTCATCTACTTCAGGACTTGGAGATGGGTGCTTAGAATATTCACATCTTCCTCTCATACCTATTCTCACACCTGGAGAGGAGGCACTTACCTGCAAGAAGTGTCTTGAAGTGAAGACATACAAATCACTGAAGCTATTTACTTCTTTATGTGAACCATATGTGACATGATTACCTTTTCAAACTTAACCCATATTTTCACTCTCTAGAAGCCTTCTCGCAATCCTCAGTTACATTTTGCATATTGCAACTACTCTATTCAGCTCAACAAATGTTCTAGACCAGAGATTAGAGGGGTTCAATGATGTGAACTAAACTTCTGAACTTCAGTTACATTACGAACATCTTCATTGTTCTTACTCTACATGAAAAAATCATCCCTACCAAGCTTGTGGAGAAAGCCGATCCATGGCAACTGTTTCCTGCGCAAGATAGCTGAGCTCCACATCTTTCTTCATATGCTGGAAATCATAAAACGAACATGGAGTAAGAAAAATATTGTGAGCAGAGGAGAGAAAGAAAATAGTAGACCATCATCTTGTTGGTAATTCTGGTTGGCATAAACTCAGATATCGTTAAGAGATGAGGAGTAAACGCTGGTTGAAGTTACGATTGTTTAGTTAGTTCCAATAAACATATACTATGGTATAGCATATGTAAGTCCCCTCTGGAGCCTGGGTGATAGGTTGGTGAAAGAGACAACTAACAGATAAGATTTGTAACAAAACTTTTCCTATATTCCACTCCACCAATGGTTTTGATATCAGCCCTATCCCATCGACTCTTCACACCATCAATGAATTACCTTCGATGCCTATGACTAGTACTGCACCCTACTCTCCTTACTCAGAGAGTTTTCCATCAGAGAATTACATTTACATATATCTTTAAGGTCAAATGTTACATCTTAAACATGAAACACTTACATATAGAACAGTTGAAAAAATATCTGCTCCTTCCAAGTGATGTGCTGATATTCGACGTGCCTCGCTAAATATACGCTCTGCTTCTGGATAATCGACCATTTCACAGCAGGCTCGTGCTACCTGAATTTTTTTTAAACCTCAGTTGTTCCTTTCTATGATAATTCACATGAAAGGACTGCAAATATGTACTGAACAAGCTAGTTTCAGTACTGCGACAAAAGATCACCTGACAGAGGACCCATGAGGTTGCGAATTGCTGCTGGGGTAGTTTGGAGAAAGCTTGCATGGCTTCCTGCACATGAGAGACAAACCAACCCCCAGAGAATGAGGGAGAATGCAAAGCAGCTAGAGACGATTCACATGCAGAGTAAATCTTCACAACAAATATTACAAAGATCAACCCCTATACAAAGTAAAACTTTATTGAATCTGAATAGCAGGAAATGTAAGATGACCTGATGTAAGAGTAATATCCTACTGAGCAGCCATTGTTTTGCATCATTGAATGTTCAACCCCAATAACAAGGAGTGGCCACATTATATGATGTTTAAAAAAAAATTGCTTTACCTGACAACGATACATGCACAGATGTCTGAAACCTTCTCCTAGAATCCTAAGAAGATTCAGAAGTTCGAGGGCACCATCTTGAAAAACTTTTGATCCATGGTAAACACCAGCCACTGAGCCTCCCGGTCGATCTTCTTCTACTGATTCATCAAGATCATAAGATGTAAACGCTCTATAGAATACACGAAAGCATTATTTTTTTTTCATTCCTAGCTTCTCAAACGCCACATTCATTTCCCTTCAATAAGAGTGGATGAACAGGTATCTATGACCGCATATTTCTAGTAGTCTCTCCACTCTCATATTTCCTTAGAGATACATTCAAAAGCCATTAGACAATCAATTCGGAAGAGCCACATCCAATATGCTGCAGAAGACGATGGCTTCTCATATGGTCAAGTAATACTCGTGAAGTGTTTACTATCTGTTGGAAATAAGAAAATGGAGTAAAAGACAAGATGCACTTTCGTTATGTTGATTCGACAATGATTTGAACCCTTAGCATATTCAATCAGTCATAAGTTCATGTCCTTAGATAAGTAATCGTTATATCATGAAGTGAAAGTTGTGCGAATCCTTCTGCAATGACAACTTTTCTATCCTCATATGTACCGGCATTTGTCACATATTGAAATCAAGAGTCGGGTTTCAGGCTCAGGGACTATCGACAGTCTACTTAGGACAGCAAGGAACAGCGATGAATACGGACACACAACAAGCGAAAACAATTTGGAGTCATTTCCTTTCGACATAATCTTCACTCATATCCCACTCCTGATATCTCAGAATTTTAAAAGTGAAGCACGAAATTTCGCCCTCCACGATTTAGAGAAGATCACCCACCATCGTCGAGACTGCTCTCCATAGATCCAAAAGAAAGCCCTTTCCTTATCCCACTCGATTGAAGAGAATTACCACTACTTCGGGATGTTGTTCCTGATGAACCAGCAAGAGTATAAAGGCCGCCTCCTGCGCCAGATGATCCTGGCCCAGATCCACTAGAAGTTATGGAGCCAAGTGCTGAACTTTTGCTCTCACCCGCAAGCCTCGAGCTCCTTCTCGGCACAGCGTCAAACAACCTGCCTGACACCTGTACATAAAAGGTCACACATCTAATGTGAAAGGAAAGCAAGATTCAAACATCAATGAAACAAATTACCATTTTTGCCACGGACACCCATGGACAAAGAGAACGGACCAGGAAACGATTGTGCACAAAAACACACATCAAATATTTACATTCTCAAGGTCCAAACAGGTTCCAGTACGTAGCACTAAGTAAACTAGCCTGCTAAATTAGCAGGAACACTTGTGATCGAGGAAAACACAGTAAGAAAAGAGGATTCTTCCTCTTACAAGTCTACTGGTTATCACTTACAAACCCTTAAAATGCCTCTAATGCAAGAGAGACATGTGCATGCACCTGTGAATATGCAGCACGCGTAGAGGGTGATCGAATGCTCTGCAGCCATGCCCAGAGAAGAGAAAAGGATGAGCTGGACACGAATGTCCATAATTAAAAAAGGAACTTCGAAAAAAAGCTCAAAAGAATGAAAGAATGAAACCTTTCTTAAGCTCCAAATCGAACAAGGGGAGACAGTGGATGCAACTCAGCCAGTCAAGAAGCACAAGAAACGAGATGATATACCTACATTCTTCGAAACAAGAGTATGTCACCCATGGACCTCGAAATTCCAATGCCTAATCAAGCATCTGGACTTAGTTCGAAAAGGAAATTAGCTCAAATTGTTGTAAATCAACTTGCCAATTTTTCCTCAGTTACAACCCTTTAGAATTATTATATACATCAAGAATATCTATCAAGATGTATTACGCGTGCAGTGACAAAAACTAGAAACCAAAGTAGTTCAGGAGGAAATATTCTCGAGAACCTGAACTCACAACCTGGACGAAGAAGGAAAGACCAATCATTCCAATCTCCTGTATTTGAAATAGTAGAAAATTTTCTCAAAGAAGATATTACTGCCGTTCTCTTCAGGAGCTCTATAGATGCCAACCACATCGAGGACGCCCACGAGACTCATACACCATATATCTTACTATATTTGAATCCTTATCTGACTTGTGAAGACGAAGGGGACGAGATGAGCGAGTAAACATGTGCTGTTTGAAGCAGCAGACTGAGACTACTTTGAACAGAAAATACACCTTACTTTGAGAGTCCTCCCTCCATGCAACAAGCTGGGGAATAAACCGAAACAATAAGAAATACATCTATAATTCGATTGACAAACAGGCAAACAGAAGTTGGGAGCAGAAAAATATATGACCAAATATCGAGCAAGACAAGAAAGTGAACGTCTAAAACCTTTCGAAATTTGCCTTCATCGACAAATTTGCGCCGTTGTTGAGAATGGCCTCCTGCCGCTATGTTGGCCCTTGTGGGCCCTTCAGTTGTAGCAACTAATGATCCACCAAGATTGCTACCTATCCCTTGCATATTCTTCCCAGGAGTGGGGACCTGCAATGATATGCCCAAAATACAAAAACTAATATCAAGCACTTCCAGTCAACAAATAATGATATTAGATTTCTCCACCAAAAACTATGGGACCGATAGACACGGCGACTCAAACAGGGCCAGCGAGTGTGGACTGCGAGAAATATTAGGCAAATGTACTGACCACAATAGACAACCGAATACTCCCCACACAAGCGAGATGAAAATGCACTCAAACGATGAAACCTCTTCAGCAACTGATGTGGTCACTAACATCGCCATATCCCAACTGAATCAGCGTATCCCTACACAAGTTCTAGGTGCATGTACATGTTAATGATCATTGAATAATACGAATTCAAAGCAATGTATGTAAAAAATGTGAACATAAGAGTCATGTCATGGTATGACGTTACCTGAGAAGATCCTGCAGTAGGGGTTACAAAAGCCAAGGAATTGCTCCCATAATCAGTGAAACCTGACACGCTGATTGCACCAGAACCTGGACCACCCGAGTTTACACATGAAGACGTGTCGTCTCCTAAAATTACAGAAGAAAACCTGGAATGTTTAGGACTTCCAGCGTTTGAGAAGGAGGATCTTAACTGGGAGTGGGACCCATTTCCGGTGTCAAAATGGTCTATGCAAAGGGCTGCAGGTGCGGAGGTTTGAGTACGAAGCTCCCAATGCAAGTGCTGCTGTTGTTGCTGCAAACGTGAAACAGCCACATCACCTAAAAGTCCAGCAGCTTCTTCCTCTGCACCTGTACAGCATATATGCATCGTACCATACAATAATTACAAACCTAAGGATAATAAAATAATGATTAAAAAAATTGTTTCAAAGTCGAAGTAATTTGCAAACTGTAGCGAGATCGTTACCTAGCAAGCATAAGTCTTCGTAAGCTGACCAAAGAAAGGGATCAAGTATGAGCGCTTGAGTATAGTGTCCTATAGCTGCTTGTCTTCGATCGGTCAGCCTGTATAATGAGGGCAAGTCCCACATGATCCAGATTAGAAATGCATTTTCTTCTCACGATCGCAGGAACCTCATCCGTATCGGCAACTAAGGACATCAAAACCGATACCGATGATTAACGGGCGTGACACAAGAGAGCATACACTCATAAGTAGAACAGCAGCAAGGTGAAGCTTACAGTGGATAGGAGCGATGATGTAAGTAGTTTTCTTGGATTGGGTAAAGGGTGGTGTAAGAAACTCACCTGCAGATTACTCCTAACATGTAATATCCAGCTGCTCCATTTGGTACCTGCTTCCAACGAACATTTCTGTCAGACTGCTACCGCTTCTTGATCTGCGTAGAAACCGAAAGCCTCGTAGTAAATAAGTGGCACTGCTACTGTTGTAAATCCACTCGTACCTCACTGCCAGCTCCACTTGGGTACAGCAGCGCTGCTTCGGCTTCGACCATACTGTCCATTTGGAAGCAGGCCAATGCGAAAAGATAACGACATTGGGCAGATTTGCTTCCTAGATCGTCACCATAATAAGAATTTGAAATATTAGAGCAGAATTTTCACAACTTAATAAAAGTTGAAAACATTTGCCAGGATCTTACGAATGCTGGATGTAATTTCCTACACCGCAACGAATGAAAACCCACCAAAAAATTCATGTGTCACATGCCAGATTCACAAATTAAAAGTGACACTGAACTGACTCGTCTGCTTAAAACACCTCGAAATTTAAACTTAACGTGCTTCAATCACTGTGAATTCTAGCCTTCGAAAGGCGATTACAGTGCGCACCGCGTGTGATAGATGAGATACGGAGACAAACCTTTAAGAATGTGGTAAGCACGGTAGGCTTGATTGCTTCGAAAATAGCAGGTTGCAAGCAGATGAAGGTTGTTCTGAATTTCAACAGGAAACAAACTCCCATTAAGATTTGATACCAAGTGACCATTCAAAATCCCATCAATCCTGCTTGGAAGCATAACTGTGGAGCTACATAACTGTGGGCGCTCTTTAGACCTAGGTTGGCCTTGCAAACACGATCATCCCAGAATGCCACAATATTTATATCCAAACGGCAGTTCGAGGTCGCAGTGATGCTGCATACCTCGGATGGAAAATCAGCGTACAATCGCTCGCATAAAAATGTTGCATTGCGGTAGAGGTACACTCTGAGAGATGCACAGACGCTTTCTGTCAGAGTAGCCTCCATATTGGGAAGGCTTCGATGATCCCAACATCCAACGACAAAACACTGCGCTAATCCATCGTCCTTCCTAGCCCGACAGGGGGACCCCACTCCTCCTCTTCATACTGTGTCGACCATCCTCTCGCTCTCATCACTTTGCCACAGATTCACACAAGCTTTATGATACTCTGCTCCTCTCTGCTGTCTTTCCGCCGATTTTTCCCAGGCCATCATCCACTCCTCATTCTCACTCGACGCCACGACCGATGCATCGCATCCTTGCAATTTCCTTCCTTCGCTTCCTGTTCGCTTCCTGTCCCTGCCCTGCCCTTCCCGGCCCTTCCTGTCACCCCCGAGACCAGCAAATTTGAGTCATCTTCCAGAGCTCACCGCTTCCTCGGTGCTCCGCACTCGCTCGTTCAAACCCGAAAGGTTCCGTTCGCTACTGCCTCACTCCCTCCTTCCCTCCCTCTGGGTCCTACTGTCCGTCGTCCGCTTCCTGCTCCTGTCGTTTCTAGACTGCCGCTTTGCCCGTCCGTTTGTCCCCGGTCTACATGGCTGCCCGCCCGTCTCCTGCCCTCCCTTTGCGTCTATGTCTCCCTCTGTGGAGCGAGGATCCATGACCCATCTGAGTTAAGTAACTCAGGTCATCCGCCCCCCGCATTTGCTTTGACGCCCTCGTTTCGCTCTCTTGGTCGCAAACCTTAGGGTTTGCTTGACCTCTTTCGAATCCCCTGCCACCCACATGGCCGTGTTTCTAAATGTGACACAAATAGAATCCACAGACAGTTTTTACGTTTTCGCATCCTGGCCGTCTAACTTCGCCATAACTCTGGTTTGCTAAGGTCTGGTACTGCGCAGGTGAGATCGAGGGACACGATGCACTGCCCTGTACACGGGGGTTTTAAATTTCAAATTTATACGGTATCTCATGAGGACAAAGCCGAGCAATCATTTACTGTACTTACTGCACCTCTCTGACTGTAGTAGACCATAGATCCGTCGACCGCATTGGGCCTGCCGGATTCCGGGTTGACTGAGAACCCGATAAAGATACACTACTTCTCTATTCCAAGGTATTAATGTGTTGTTTGAGTTTGCGGAGCAGGCTATCCCGTTAGTGTCAATTGTCGATATCTTACCATCTGGTTTTGAGATAGGTGATCTTCACTTTCACAACAATGACACTGTGAAGCGCAACGAAAACTCCGATTTCTACCACATTTTTAAAGGCTATATCTGAAATGAAAAAAGTTCTTCAGAAATCCCCCTATATCATGGGAAACGTAGCACTACAGCAAAATTGGGGGAACACCCCAGCACGTCGAACCAAAGTTGGATTATATGACTATTCCCAACAACATCATAATTAAAATTTCCTCCCATTATACACAATTGGAGTATTATCTAGATCCAAGTATTTAGATATTTCATATCCACATGCTCTTACTCACTCTCTCATTTAAGTGCTTCCGTCACGTAAGCAAAGGGGCTACATCCCATTCATAAGCAATTTACGTTGATAAAACACTTTTGGAGGTCCAAATGTACATTAAAGCCGATGGGAAGACCCATTAAGCCGTACAAGTACAAAACGAATAGTAAATTAGGGTATAGTACTCTTGGTAGACAATTCTGAAGCTTACAACTGTTTCGAAAGAGTAAAATGGTAGATTTCCAATATCTTTTGGAACCTTAATAATCTTTCGTTGTTATGCATGAGGTATCCATTCAATTTCTATACCCTGATAATGTATGGTTCAGTAAGAGGGCTCTACTCTATAGTTTATTGGTTTACAATAGGTAGCCAAGGATAGTCCATTATTTTTCTCATCCACCATCTGGCTTTTGAACATAAATCAATATATCAGATTTTACAAACCTCCACGGAGTCAGCAACGGGAGTCTGAGATATCTGGGATGCAACTCTACATAACAAAATCATAGAGTGTAAATCAGTAAACGTATAACCGCATAACTAAGTGGCATTCAGTCTCAAATAGAATACTCTTTTATATATATAAAATAAATATTCTCAGTAGACTGTTTTTTATTTTAGTAGCCGTCATTTACACCTGCAATTATAATTAGTGCACATTAAGTTTTTTAAAGGATACTGATTCCAAGTAAAATAATATAAGATTGCAAATTGTATATGTGTATTCAATCTAACTTTCTTCGCAAAGTGCAAATTGATCACTTTCAGGTGACAAGTTGAACGATTGCGTAGAACTAAAAACATGATCTTAAATTTATTAAATATATAAAGGATTTTTTTAAAAAAATCTACATTTGCAGATAAAAGCTATATTCTCTAGTTTTCTTAACATGAATTAAGAGAAGATATAGAGACGAAACAGTAAAAAGTGGTCGAGATCAAACACACACAGATATAATAATATTCACTTTGAAAGAATTTCTTAATGTTCAAATTACAACATTTGTAGTCGTACAATGGGCATTTATATAATGCCCATTCACGATGAAATCTTGTGAATATTTTAAGACCCATATGTCATGCTAACTTTAAAAACTAATTGTAATATATGAAAATGAATGATAGAAGCATTCATGCAACGTAACCTTTCCAAATGTAAGTATGACGTAGGTGAGCTCAATGTGCAAGATTTTAATCTTTTGATTTAATTTTCTTATATAAAATGAATACAAATTTAAACATGTACATATACATTTTTGAGTGATGAATTAAAAAAAATCAGAAATGCATGAAAATATTGAAATTACTTAAATTTTGTTTTAAAAAAATATTCTTTAAGTATTTTTTTTTAGAATGATAGTGTTTCCTTAAAAATTTGCTCATTGAATGCTAAAAAATGAATGTACTTAATTTATACATATGAAATCAAATAATAGTATATTAGTCATGTATACATTTTTTGGAATAGAATAATAATGTGTCATATGAGGTATGTTAATGTACTAACTAACTTGATAAACATTACCAATTCATTTCCACAAACTTCATGTAATTAGTGCAACAATTGAAATGCCTTCACTTTATCAATTGTTGGCTTCATATCTCACTCTTGAGTTCATATTTATGTTTAAAGAAAAATTGTTTCATGATTTGAATGTACAGTCATATAATACAACGGGTGTACTATTTGTTAATTGCTGCAAATTCATGAATCAAGACTGACATTTGCAAAATTTGAGATATATAATTCATTCAACTTTTGATTTTATCATACCTTTACAATATTAAAAGCTTCAAATTTGTTCATTTCAATTTGTTTTCTTAATTTTTGGAGAAATTTGTTTTTTGATTCCTCAATATTAAACTATTCTACTTTAAATGATTTCAATGATACGAAATCTTTAGGTAAATTTTCAAGGGTATGAATCGAAGCTGGTCAATATAATTAGGTTTGATTTATTATAACATTATGTATGTTCTAATCCAGATGATCATGTAGGCATCGCTACTTTAAGTAATAATACTTAAACGATAAAATATTGTAACCAGATCTAAATTTAGTAGAAGAAATCTAGTTTATATTTTCTACATAGATAGTATACTTCAATTCATGAGGAGAACAAAAAGATAAAACAAGAAAAGTAAAATCACATCAAGTCACAAGGATGAAGACAGGGACAACGGCTATTATAGCCATGATATACACTTAATCAAGTTATTACATCTTTTCAGAAAATATCATCGCTGACATAAATTTGTGATATAAATTTGAATTGTATGTCTTGTCATTAAACTTTCACAAACTGTAGTCAATTCTTGTCATTGTATCTCTTGTTATTTTGAGGTGTTTCGACCGGTTCTTACGAGAGTTCATCGACATAAGTTAGCTTTATATATTCTCTAACGATGTGATACGTCTTTATTTGCTGAATCCGGGGAACGAAAGGAAGTTACTTCGCAGACAAAAAATTAGTTGGTCATCTTGTGAGGCATTACGAATATCGAGAATGAAACTCAGCAAACGTACAAGCAATGGAAAAATACTTCTTTCACAAACGATTCGATACTTATAACCTGCCTAGTAGGGGCACTGTCCGACAGGGGAATTTATTTTGTCGGCTTGGTCTGTAAGACACAGTGGCTTCGTGAGAACCATGTGTAGGCCGCAGCTGTTGTCTGGTATCAAAAGGCGGACCTGATGCTGTGATGGAATTCCCACTTGAGCAGATTCGGAATGTGCACACTGTAAGCAGTTGTGAGTGGTATTGGAAACTGGATTACGACCTCGATGCACACGTTTGTCAGAGATTGTAGTTCATAGCTTACATAATTACTTAATACTGTACTGTGATTCGTCCATCTTGGAAGTACAGTAAACTGGATTCCAGTGTGGCTACCAGGTGTGGACTTGGAATTCGGAGTGCGATTCTGGGGGCATCACGTGGCCACTTAAGTAGTTCATTGCTTCTGTTCATGGTATTTTGTTCAAATTCAGAGTGCTGGCCGTGGCCGTATTTGTAATGGGACGGACTGAATACTATAATTCCTCACATGTCGAGCTTAAGTATTCTTCTGCACTGGCCTGTTCACGATGAGTCGACATGGAAAATTTGTCCACTCTCCCCTTTATGCTCCTGCGATGTTCGGCGATGCTTCTCTCTGTGTTACAACATTGTGATGAGGAACTTGCATCTGTTGGTTAATGCTCGCTGTAAAGGAAGGCAGTAAGTCATACGTGTTTCGGGATGAAAAGTTCTCACAACTTCTGAGGCGTGAACGTGGGAATTCTTAGTGTTTGCTTACGTGCCTGATTTGAGGCATTGGGCTGGCTGAGAGAATCGTCACAGCTTCCTCTGCTTCGCTTGAAGAGAGTGGTTTCCATCGTTATTTCTGGCGCGTTTTGGAGTGATTTTGACAATTGCTCGCAATGAGCTCGTTTGGGGATGTGGAGGACGGGGAGGGTCCAGAGACTGAAAGAGAAGGTCTTAGCGATGTTGACGAGGACGAAGGAGATGAGGACTTGGCAGGGGACGAATATGTGGATGGGGATGGAGAAGGAGAGGAAAACGATGAGTACCAATTGGAATTCGGCACAGGCATGGATCCGTTGGCATTCGTGGAGGAGAATGAGAGTGGCGTTATGCCTTTTCAGCAGTTTGAGAAGCTAGAATACGAGGCACTTGCAGCTCGAAAGCGCAAAGCGTTGGCTGTTCAGAGGTACAAACCGTAAATTGTTGGACGTTGTTATCCAGTTGATAAGAAGATTCAGTGTGTTTAGCTCAACTCATACTACAGCGAAGAATTTTTGGCATCCTTGTACTCAATCTTTTGCAACCCCTGGTAGGGCAGCGAAAATGAAGTCGTCCAAGGCGCAAGAGGACGTTTTTGGCGCCAATATTGATGAAATTTGGGAATCAGCAGGGTTTGGAATTGGGCGTCGCCGGAGGCGCCGGAAGAAGGTAAACATTTTAAATGAACTTGAACACCGTCCTTTTTGCATGTCTTTCTTCTGAAAGTTAGTTGTAGATTCTCAAGTTGCTGAAGTTTATATACGTTTGCATCAGTTTGAATCTCAGTCTTTCGAGTTTCTCACAGAGCTTCAGAGTGTAGAGTTGCCTCCATCTGCCACTTATAACGTGCAGCAAATTCATTTTATACGCAATTTCAAACAAACATTTACATCCAGTGCCGTCGTGAGCTTTTTATCTCTTCCTAGTGAGATTTTACCTCAGCAAACAACTGACAGGAAGTTGCTGCAATAAGTGGTACCCTTTTCTTAAGTAAGGACGTTTTTTAGACTGGTTTATATGAGTCATAGCATAATTTGATCTCACCGTGGTTATACAAGGACTTCAAGGAGCTGTTTAGAAATTAATTTTGTCTACGAAGCTAGAGTTTTTGTTGTTGCTGACTTTGCTTGTGCAATCCGTTTTTTTAATCACACAGAAGAGGAAGCTTGGCAGACGGTCAAGATTAACTCCTGAAGTTGCAAAGATGCTAGGAGAAGCGAATCTTCTCTATGCCATGGGAAAATTTGAAGAGGTTAGCATTTGTATTCTAAATGGTTCTCTCATTGCTCGACCATGATTCAGTGGACCATGATTCAGTATCTAATCATGTATATAAGCAATGAACCTTGTTTTCTTGATATGAGGACCATCTACCAATTGAGCTATTGAGAAGGCTCTTTTGCATTCGTTACTCCAGAGTAATCAGCATAGCTGCTCTGAGAACGTGTCAATCTATAGTAAATCCTGCAAGTTTTATTGATGTGAAAGAGGACAAGTGAATGCGGTTGAATGCAGGCAGTGGAGTTACTGAAGGAGTGTGTGCGCATTGCGCCAAATGTACCAGATTCCTATCACACCCTTGGTTTATTGTACGACGCAATGTCTGATAGAAAGAAGGCACTTAATTTCTACATGATTGCTGCACACCTCACTCCTAAGGACTCTGTGCTGTGGAAGCGACTTGCATCATGGTCAATGTAAGAATTGTACCATCCTACCTATCTTTATGGATTCATGTCATTTATCATACATAATCGTCACGAAATTATTCACAATCTTGCCAATTGTTCTGATATGCATTTTGCCACATAGAATCATATAGTTTGACATCACATATGTCAGTCAATATTTGTTATTTCAAATAAATTCTTAGCAAAAATTCGAAGGAGAGTACTTCAGGCAAATAATTTAGGTTGACATTTATCGTTGTAAACAGTTACAGTTGGGAACCCAGTTTTCACGAAGTGCTCATTTTCATGCTTTTCTGCTGAAATCAAGGTGGTTAGGTTGGTCATATGACTGTAAGATATTTCATTTGCATCACGAACTCAATATTGACTCCTATGAGAACTGATCGCCTATGGATCAGGGAGCAGGGAAACATTGGACAAGTGATTTACTGTTTGACGAAGGCAGTAAAAGCTGATCCAGATGATGTGGATGCCAAGTGGGACCGAGCATCTCTTTTTGCCGAACACAATGACTATCAGAAAGCTGCAGAAGCTTTTGAGCAGCTTTTATTGCAGCGACCAAGTGATGTGGAGGTTGGCAAGATGGTAGCGAAGGTATGTTCGTTTTGGTGGTAGTGGAATCTTGGTGACGGAGTTCGAAGCATACAGAAGTGGGCATTTATAGAATCCATTGTTTTCGATGCCCGTGGCTGGTTGTTCAAGTTAGGAACTTATGTAGGGTCAAGTCTTGGATTTTGCTTTCGAGACACATACGAAGATCCATAAGCTTCCATGAATCCAGAAGTATCTGTTATCATTCGAAGCTACTAGCAAATTTTGAAAGCACCTCTATGTGAAATGCTAACTTGGTCTCCGTGATAATAAAGACGTGGTTTCTCCTGTTTATAGATGCATCACAAGACAGGACAATGTGAGCGAGCTATACAAGTCCTGGAGAAGTTAGTCGAGGAGCATCCTGCAGAGGCTGATTTGACCGCGGTGAATCTTTTGGCTGAGTTGCTTATGGAGAGTGGACAATTTGCAACGGCAATCGCACACATAGATCATGCATCAACTCTTTATTGCCCAGATCAACATCTTCCTATCGACTTATCTACTAAAGCTGGAATTTGTCACGCCTATCTTGGAAACTTGGAAGATGCCGAGGTAATTGTTCGTCATTGTGGCTACTTTTACTAGTTCCCGGTGATATGCAGTTTTTCTTGTGTTCCTTGTAAATACTCATGCTCGTTCTCCTCTACCTGGATGAGCTTTTAAGCATATTCGTGTTCTGAATGTGGAAACAATGAGCAGAGCTTTTTCGAGGAGCTTTCGGAGGAGCGCATTGAGGGCTTTGCAGATCTTATTATGGATGTTGGGGACGCCTACTTGGCTCTTGGGGAGCACAAGTATGCCTTACACTATTATGGAATGCTTCATGGTGATAAGACCTTTGACAATGTACCTTCTCTATTTTCTTTCTCATTGTCAGTGCACATAAGAGGCACAAACTTTTCTGTTTACCTATTGGATGGAGTTCTGATCTTTATAAATTGTCAAAGTACTACGCTTTGATTACATTTAAAATAACGGCACTTCCCTTGCGTAGATTGAACAGGTTAGTTTTGACCTTAACAACAATGGAGAACGACTTCAATGTTTGATACAGAACTAACGGCTCTGCCTTCTGTGCAGGCTGGGGTATGCCTCAAAATGGCAGAATGTCATGCTGCCTTGAAGGAAACAAGAGCTGCAATTGACCTTTACTACAGAGGTAAACTTTTGTCCTTCTCATAGTGGTCAGCACAGGAATATTGCAGCAGTTTCTTAGAACCTTCTATCTTATCAGAATAACTTTATTTCCGTACAGTCTTGCAGGATCTTCCTCATCATATAGAAACTCGGCTTACCTTGGCAACTATTCTGGATGAAAATGGACAATTTGATGAGGCTATCTCTGTTTTGGCTCCTCCGGAAAGTTCTGGTAAACTTCTAACATATGCGTTGAAGTGGCTTCTCTGATTCATTCACTGCATAGAGGGCTTTTACATTACATACTTAGCCACCTATTTCCCTCGATTAAGTAATCAAGTACTCACATAATCGCCGTGTGGAAGAAGAGAGTGTTGGGCCTCCAGGTGATGTAGAAGATTCCTGGTGGAAGGATGGTGAAGTTCGCAAAAAGCTGGCACAGTTGTATCTTTCACATGAACTGTATCCACAGTACCTTGATACGCTGGTTCCTGCAATACAAGAAACCTTGTATCTAGAGTCCCAAAATCACAAGGTTTGAAGAGACACGACCTTTTCCGATCATTTTTGCTAAAAGATGGGAAAGTCACGATCCATATATCTGTATTTATACTACTACGTTTCATTTTGGAGTTAATCATTGAAAACCGTGACTTCTAATCAAAAAGTTGTTTTTTTGTCAGATTGTTAGGTTAGATTCAATCTGTGCAGAATTATTTCGATTTTTCCGTCACAATTTTCGTATTTTGTACATTTTCATTGCTTAAGCGTTTCGTGCATATGAGTGCAAAATAGGAAATATTAGGTTATAGGCCTTTAAATGAGAGATTAGTCCTGTAGTAGTGGCTTTCAGTTTGTTACACTTTCTTGTATCATTTCAGTTGATGTAGCGTCAGATGGTTGCACGTACACCCTTTAACATAAAGAGCATCCGCATCTTGCTTGTCTGTTGTCTGATCGTTCCGTTCGTCAGGTGAGAAACCCGAAAAGGCTTAGGAAGAGTGTACTGTTGGAGCGAGTCCGTTGGATTGAAGATCGACCAGCTGATGAAGTATTTCATGGATTCCGACCTGTGCTTTCCAGCTCAAATATGTGAGATCCCTTGCACTTGAAGCAGATACATTGTGGATTATAAAGAAGCTGTGTTATGCCTACTTTGAAGGCTAATTTCTCATTGCCCTTTTGTTGCCTCATTGTACACTTCGTCTTTGATTGGTAGGGTCAAAGCGGCAAGGGCCAAAAAGAGGCTACAGCAATTATTAGAAGACAAGAAGGACAGAAAGGCAGCAGCTCTCGCAGCGGGTCAGACCTATGAATCTGAAGAAGAAGAAGACGACGAACCCATACCAAACGTAGAACTCAAAACTGAAACTTCTATGCATACGGCTTTCAGATTTTTTGAAAATAGATCTAATGTCAGAAGATTCACCAGATATTAATCTCCAGAAAGGGGTTAGACGCATTTGTGGTGCATGAATAAAGATCAGTTTCGTTCCTGGGATCGAGTATGGAATTAAACCTTTATGTCGAAAGTCGCAAGGTACTGCGCAGATAGATAGGCTTGGATGCAATTGACATCTGTTTGACTGTGATGTAGGAGGTTCACCACGTGAAACAGCCTCTCCCAAATCTGTTGAAGGACGAAGAACACTACCAACTTATTCTTCAAGTAAGTTAGCTTCTTCTTTATCAGAAGAATTAAAACTGATTCTTGAGTTTCAAAATTTGAACCCTGAGTGTGTTGTCCATGGACTTGTCGACAGTGTTGCAGGACATTAACATCCTCGAAGAGGTACTGGGAGGCTTTGGAGATTGTCCATCACACGCTGCAAGCGGGATCAGGGCTCGGACAAGAGAAGAGGGATGAGCTTCGTAATCTGGGTGCACGTAAGATTCTCCATTTTCTTGGATTTTAAGTCGTTGAGTCGGTGTTAAGACGTTCGTGAAAAGTTGTGATGTGACGTATTCAGGTGCATGGGATGTGAAGGTTCAGGTACATACTTGACTCAGGTTCCTTGAAGCATCGAAGTACAGGCAGATTGATCTCGTTGGAGTGGTCATATGCATACGGATCTTTAACATAATCCTTGCAAGGTAGCTGTTTGTGTCAATGATGACAGTCCTATCCGTGAGGCCGCGAAAACCTTAACCGTCAGCCCTACAGCTCAAAGAGAACCTTGTTCAGATTCCTTGCTCTATCCATAAGCTTGTGCTCAATACGTTCATGCGAAAGTAAAGAATATGCTCGTTTGGAAGTTTCTTACGCTTCGCAGCACAATATAACTCGGAATCTTGAGATTGCAACAAAATTGCACGAGGTGTCCAAGTAGCATTCTCCATATTGACTTCAATCAAGTGTGTCCCTTCAACCACCAGCATCAACTTATCAGTTTAAAGGACATTCTTATTATTTGTTTGAAGCCAGCATATACAAGAAGCATTCACTATATATGTTGTATTTGTATGCTGTCACATCACTAACGAGAATGTGCGATTAGAATAAGGTAGTTGTGTGCCTCCATTTACTTGACTAGATTCGTTCCATAAAATTTTTTTTGAGCTCTGGAGCTTCTCTAGGTCCTCATGTGATCAGGATTCATTGACACTGCAGTCGTTCTCGAAGCCTACCGTTTTCTATTATCTTACTAGTTATCGCCTTTCTTGTAGGTATCGCTTATCAGACAAGGGATGCCAACTATGGATTCGATTGTGTGAAGTACATGGTGGCACAACGCCCCTACAGCACGAGTGTTTGGAATCGTTACTACCAAGTCATCTCTAGGTGTGTCTCACAAACCTTACCTTCAAAAAGTATGAAAATAATTTATCGCTCGTGCAGGCTATAAATTAGTTGATTCTATTTAGGATGTTTTCTTTACTGTATGACTCATTATTGACTACTCTAGGTAGTGCATCTGCATGATATTTGAAGTTCACCCTATGCCTCTGCTGATGTCACGCTTGTGTAGACAACGGAACGCTGGTATGTGATCACATCGTAAGCGTACAGAGTTATGACTTAAAATTACTAGTACTTGAGTAAACAATGGTGCAGTGTTTGGCTAGATGTTGAACTTACTGAGCGTAGGCCCTTGCTTCTGTTCATAATCTTACATATATTGGAGGGACATTTGCTGTTCTTATCAAGTAAAGATGCTTGTATCAAAACATTCTATTCTTTGTACCTTAACGCTGCCTAGATCTTCGATGCCCGATAACTGCATGATGATCTTTGCATTAAGCATATTATTTTCAATCCTTTACGTTCTCAATCGTTGCCTCTCACATCCTGCTTCTTCCCTGTAACTTGATTTGGGCTCTGTATGATAGTTTGGTACTCACTCGCTTGTTCATTGAACTGTATCAGTACTACTGTAATCCCATGGGTCTTGCATGTACCTTTACCACCTGTGAATAAACAGAGTGAAGTGTACAACTGACTGTTGTGTCTTCCTTCTCTGGGTTTGAGACTGAGAGCCATTCTGGGTCGATCATTCCACTACGCAATATATTGGACAAATATTTATGCCTAAAGAACGCTTGCGGTTCATATGTGCCAGATCAGAGGCACGAGTTCCGAAACATAATAAGTTCATGTTACATATGCGATCCAAGTACCCAGATGTAGTCCCGACAATGATAATATCAGGACATCAGTTCAGCATGATTAGTCAACAACAAGGAGCTCTTCGAGAATACCTTCAAGCCTACAAGCTTCAGCCTGAAGATCCTTTCATAAACCTTTGTGTTGGTAAGCACTGCTGTCTTGTACATTTGCTCTTGGGGTCCGGGCTCACCCTTTAAAAACTTTTTCTTCAGCTTTTTGGAGTGTGTCATAGCTCTTGATTCTGTTTCGCAATTTAAACTCTTAAGAATCTGTGTGTTTTGCACAATTCATGCCTGCAGGAACAGCATTTATCAATCTGTCGCTTGGATTCAGGCTGAGTAATCGCAATCAGTGTGTCATGCAAGGGTTTGCATTTCTTTACAAGTACCAGCGGCTGGTCAACTTTAATCAGGTGAGTGTGCATCCTTCACACGGGCTTCGTTCTGTGATGAATTCTTCTTCTGAAGGAACGTAAGGTCCTGTCATCTTTTGGATTCCCTTGTGAATATGATCTCTGTCGTCAATGGTCTCTCAGTCGATGCAATTTGAAGTGAGACTGCATTTTTGATTTGTTGATCGTCAGGAGTCGAACTTCAACTTAGCTCGTGCGTATCACCATGTGGGCCTTGTGCAATTGGCATCCACCTACTATGAAAAGGTTTTGAGTACGTACGTGAAAGATCGTCCTCCTGTCAAGTTACCTCATGAGGCCGTAGAGATTGAGACTGGTATTCCTCCAAAGAAGGTTACATCAGATCACGATCTTGGTCATTGCAATTTGCAAAGAGAAGCTGCGTACAATCTCCACCTCATTTACAAAAGAAGCGGATCAAGCAACCTAGCGAGACAACTACTGAAGGATTACTGCTCCTTTTAAGCCCTACATGATGACCTCTTTGTTCACTCTGGATATGAAGAGAATCCTAGACACTGAAGCTCAAGTTTCTCACAAGGAGTTCTTACGTCGGTGTCCCGGGCCTGGACTTTCTAGCTGCGTGTACAGGACTGTTTGCGTCTACATCTCAAGGCAGAGTAAGGAAGTCAATAGTTGGAATCGGATTCGTGTTGGAACCGAATCTTCCCACGATAGGCATGCTGGAAGACAAAGGCGCAGCGACTTCGTCCACCAAGATCTTCTTAAAAATGGACAAGAAGCGGAATCGGGGACTAGTGAAAAACCACTACGATTCTAGTTGCTGTGCTCTCTCTTCTCTGAAAATGCGTGTGCTTACCCTAGAATTTTTTCACGATCCAGAAGGTCATCCAGCAGCGAACTTCTGTCCAGTCTGAGTAGCCGGGATATCTTTGGAGACCAGAGCTGGAAGGAGCAGTTTCTGCCGTCATCGTAACAGAAGCTACTCTGAAGAAGTTTTCTATCTATCTTACTCTGAAGAAGTTGTCTATCTATCTCAAGTTCATAAAACATAGAACCAAAGTGGCGCCAGCTGTGCAGACGTGAAATTGCAGTGTAAACGTGAAAATTGCTCGAGCGAATGATTAGGCGTAACAGGTATTGGCATTTATCAGTCTTATTGCATCGTATATTACATGTAAAATGGGAGGGAACTGAAATAAAGAGTTGCATGTCTTAGCAAGCACCCCGCACCTAATCCCTAAATGTCCCACGCTGACATCTTTTTGATCTTCCTGAGCTTAAAATTGGCTATAATTTAATGCCAATATTAATGCTTCGCTCGTCCTTTTTCTTTTTAAGACTAGAGTGTACGAAACCATAATTTTTGTTGTAGTGTATATAGCTTGCTTTCGTCTTCTCACTTGCCTCATTTTAAACACCAATGCAATTTAATGCTTCTCTCTTCCTCTGTTCATCGTGCCTAGTTGAATCATGTCTGATGTTTTGATGCTTTGTATCTACATTATATCCACTATATATAGTAGTGAACTAGAGTTTAAACCCTAAACCTAAATTCATGCTTGGATCGGAACACTATTTCCAAGAATTTTCGTGGAAAAGAGAAGTGGTTGAGTGTGCATAAATCTGTGCGTGAAGGCAATGTGCGACATGCTTGAGGTGGAAAACGGCCTCCGCTTGAAAAAGTTTTGGTTTTATGATTTGATAAGTTAGGGCAGGAAATAGAGTTGTAACTGATGATGTCATTATGCACACGGTTATGGAATTGAGGATGGATGGTTGCAAAATTTCAAAAATGTTATTATCTTTAAGTGTTATTATTTGCATGGAGAAAGTGGAGATGCAAATGAGGTTGGAGTTACATTGGTTATGGGAAAGATTTCATTCATGCTCAAGAAATATGATTGAAAAGACATCTTCAATGTCGATGAGTTATGATAGTACTATAGAGTTTCTCCTACCAAGATTGTGAATATTGGTAAAGCAAAAAGAAATAAGAAGAATAACAGCGTGACGTTGGCACTTTGCACTAACATCTCAGAGAAGAAGTGATTGAAGCTTGATTTCATTCGCGTCCTAGCTACTTTTCTCGGACGTTTAATTCAAATGGTATACTAGATTATTATTCTAACAATTTAGCATGGATGAATAGTGATGTTTTTATACATTGGGTGAAGAGTGAGAACCTAAGAATAACATTTCAAGATCTAAAGATTTTCATTATCATGAATAATACAGGAAGCCATGATATTCATGGTGAAGTCAAGAAGGTTATAGATGGGTTTAATGTTTTTTTACTCTTTCATATCACTATCTTATTGTTTCCACCAAATGTGTATTCAATTGTTCAACCTTTGGATCAAGGAGTGATTGCAGCATTCAAAGTGTGCTATAAACGCAAGCTTGTTGCCTTGACTTCGCAACAAATTGATAACTCAGATGAAGATTTGGGTAAACTGAATGTTGATCTCTTCCAAGCAATGCTTTGGTGTGTGGTAGCATGGTATGAATTAGATGATCAAACCATCAAAAATTGTTGGAGAAAGTCTGCCATATTGTCTACAGAGTGGATGCACATATCAACAATTTTGATGAACGAATGAAGTCCAAAATAGAGTAAGCAACTTCAGAATTGGACAAACTCATCGCCACGTTGAATTTGAGTTTGGATGTTAAAATCAAGCCTATAGAAAAGCTTAGTATTTTGGAGAATATAAACATGGAAGATGAAGATGATTTTGAGGTGTAATATATAACTTGGGATCTTGTGCAATTAGTGCAAGATGGCGAAGAGTTACTTGATTCCATGGAAGAAGATTCAATGATTGTTGATAGCAATGATGATGAGTACAAAGTAGTGAAGCTAAGCGAAGCACAGAAATATGCTAAGGATTTATTGAATTTTATGGCTAGCCAAAATTCTCAAATTTTCAACATTCAAGAGTTGTTAGGAATGAAAAAAATCCATGACAAACTCATTGGAATTGGTGTTGGACATTTAACATCACTAAAACAATGTGACATTAGAAACTTCTTTGTTTCTAGTGTCGTGCGACTCGGTATCGCCATACATCATACATCGCTGCCATGCTCTACTCACAACTCACACATACATACATAAGGAACGAAAGTGTCCACACACAAAGGTATTACAACTAAAATAAATGTCGAAACACAAATACACAGGAAGTCGAGCCAAACTCACTCCCAAAGGAGACATAGAGTCGAAGCTATCGGAACTGACATATCCCTACGCGAAAGCCTCAACTCGAAGAACTGACAGTTCTTCGAGTTCGCCACAAATATAAACCTGTAAAGTCGACCTAGCCTACGCTCCGCGTCTCAACGTTAGCCGACTCCCAACGTCACCCGACTCACACTCGAATCCAACGTGTCTGAACTCAAATCGACACCAACGTCGATCTGCAATTGCACTAACGTGCATACACATGACAGCTGTCGTGCGACTCGGTATCGCCATACATCATACATCGCTGCCATGCTCTACTCACAACTCACACATACATACACAAGGAACGAGAGTGTCCACACACAAAGGTATCACAACTCGCCCCCCTAGCTGGCGGTCAGGTCCCTCTGACTCCCAGGTAGCCCTATCTACAACTACATGCTATGCACCTTCGTGGGTGCGGGAACCAGTAGGTCAGGTGCTATGTCGCCCCATCGTTAGTCGCCTATCTGCAATTCATAACATGTGAAGATCAAGTCATCTACACTCTGAAGTACATCGAGGACAAACCCACCGTCCAGTAGGAACAACATCGATAGGTGGAGTCAAGCACGACATGTGCCATCCCCTAGAACACCTATCACACACCAACATATGGACCGCCTGATCAGTTGACCCACATAACATGCACCTCAAGCCGGCACGTACAATTGCCAAGCTTGGGTCCATAGTACCATCCACGTTTTGGAGGTGGCATGGCGCACAGTTGCGCACATGATCCTTCCAAACGACACCGTCACGACCCTCCAACATGAGAACTCAAGAAGGTAACACCTCTCGCACTCGCAAAATAGTGCGTCATGCTATCACATCCAACGTAGTCGGTGCAGTCTGCTGTAAGTAGACGTAGTCTCCCACACGGAACCTACGAATCGATGGTCGATAACCTCCTCCCCGGATGGTTGCATACCGCAACGTATCCCTGTGCTAAGCAATCGCAAGGTTCTCAAACGCTGCAGGCATAACTCGCCGAAAGAGCACTGCATGTTGGGAACACACTCTCACCCATATATCTGGATCATCAAGGTTCACCACCTCGCTAGACTCACGACGAATCGCTACAGGCAAATCTAGATCTCGGCCGTACAATAGAAAATATGGTGAAAACGAAGCCAAGGATGCTTGACGACTGAATCGATATCCCATGGCCAACCATGGTAACTGAATATCCCAGTTTCCAAGATGCCCCTTCTGTAGGCCATACTTGCGCAACACTCTCTTCACCGTCTGTACCATCCGCTCAGCCAAACCATCCGCCTCTAGATGATCTCGGGAAGTAGTTCGGTGATCAATTAGCGTCTTGTCACACAAGACCTGAAACTCACCCTGAAACTCTGTCCCTTGATCGGTTAACACCTCAGCTGGTGCACCAAAGTGACTAAGCACCCTGTCAAGGAAAACATATGCTACTCCCTCACTCGCCTTGTCAGGTAATGCCACCAACTCAATCCACTTGGAGAAATGCTCCACCATCACCAACACATACCGATGATGTCGTGTAGTCAAAGCTAGTGGTCCAGCAAAGTCCAAACTCCAACGGTAACCCAATCCCATGATAGGCAAGGGATGTAACTCTGGTGTCGGGGCATTGAACGATGCCCTCACTCGATCACAAACCATGCAACGTGATACCAACTGCTGTACCTGCGTATGCATACCACGCCACCAATACTGACCAAGGAGTAAGCTGTACGTACGCTTCACTCCAAAATGTCCCAACTCCTCATGAGCATGCCTCACAATGCGTGCTCTCTTAGTTGGATGCGGTACTACTCGTACCCTACCATCCTCCCACACTCGGAGAACATGTGTACCCTCCAATCGGTATCTCTTCGCCCGGTGGAGAACACGATCTCGCTCCTTGGCACCCACTGTGGCTGGCACCATACTGGTCCGTAGGAACTCCAACACCAACGCATCATCGTGAACATCACGCTGGTCCACACCACCATCCTCAACCTCAGGATCCGAAGACTGACTATCTACTCTCTGACTAGAGTAAGATGTCAAGTGGTCCTCACTACTAGAGGCTCCACAAAACCAACACATGAAGGATGATGCATGCCAACCGGGCACCATCTCCTCATCAACCTCACCATGCCACCTAGCTCCAGTGTCATCCTCCTGGCTAGTGCATGGGTTCCGACTCAAACCGTCGGCATCCAGGTTCGCAACTCCAGACCTATGCACTACCTGAAAGTCGTACTCCTGTAAGATGAAAGCCCACCGTGCAAGCTTCCCTGTGAGCTTGTCAGACTCCATCAACCACTTGAGCGGTTGATGATCGGTAACAAGGGTAAACTGCGTACCAAACAAGTAACATCTGAAGTGTGCCACAGCCCACACCGCTGCCAAACACTCTCCCTCGTACGAACTATACCGCGACTCTACTGCATTGTTCGAACGACTAGCGTACGCAACCACAAACTCCTTGCCCTCATCATCACACTGCGTCAACACCGCTCCAAGTTCCAACATACTCCAATCAGTGTGCAATTGGTATGGACGACCTCTGATAGGTCTCCTCAAGATGGGGGCGGCCATCAACCTGGCCTTGAGCTCAACAAAAGCTCTCTCCTGCTCGTCTCCCCATTGCCACTCCTGATCCGACTTCAGCAATTGGTTCAAAGGCTTTGCTATAGCAATGAATTCCTTCACATACCTCCGGTAATAGTTCGCCAAACCCATGAATGCACGAACTCTACTCACATCCGCCGGACGAGGAATGCGCGCAATAGCCTCCACCTTTGCCTGCTGAACTCCCAAACCACCTGGGTAGATCACATGACCCAAGTACTCCACCTTCTCCTGGAAGAACCTACATTTACCAGGATGTAACCGCAGACCATGAGCCCTCAACCGCTCAAGCACAATCTGCAAATGTATCTGGTGTTACTCCACCGTGTCGCTAAACATCAAGATATCATCAATGTAACATCTGACAAAATCTAGCCCCGCTAGAATCCTGTCCATCACTCTCTGGAACTCGGCAGGTGCATTCTTCAACCCAAAGGGTAAGA